CGAAACGTCGGTTAACACCACATATACACGGCGCCAAAGCCCAGAAGACTGCTTTCTTCATAGTCACCGCCGTGAAAGCCTCAAATCTTACATAGTAATAAACCCTCACTAGCTGAGCAACGAATAGCTTCTCAAAAAGTAGTTACAAAATGGCACGTTTGTTTTCCCTGCTGCAATAAGGGAAATGGTTTCAATAGAATTCTAATCACGATGATGGTCACATTTTATGAGAATCTGAAATAGTGCGATATATAACCTGCCGTTTTATTTGGGTGTCCTTGAACGGTTGCTGTGCACACTGCCTTATGGTTGTGCTGGTTTATCTTTGTTTCCATGTGTGTGGCTGTCTTGAATGTTTTTGTTGTGGTGGAAGTTTGTTGTATGGCGGTCTGCCATCACAGACATCTTGGACAAGCAAACTTCCTCCATTCTTAGCATCAAAGAGTGAAACAAACATGTAACCTGCGTGAAGTTGATAGTGAGCAGAGCTTTCCCATACTACATGTCGTCACACTCCGAAAGGCAATACTCTTCTACCTTAAAATGTTAGCCGAAACTGCTGACTACAATCTAACAGTGTTCCTATTCAGAGTAACGAATTTTTAGAGAACAGTTGTCCCAGTAACATTCAATTAACTTTCTCTGATTCTGTTGCTTACCATGTGCCATAATAAACCTGTTCAACAAGATAGTTTGTATCCGTTATTAGAGCAAGAAAGAAACATAATCATTGTCTGCAACACAGAATACAGAAGGGAAAGTATTCCAATGAATTGATCAATTAAGGACAGGTTTTATTACATTGATCGCAAGTGTAACCAATAGTGTGGAATTTCTTTTTTCAACTTTCAGCCACGGCACAACCAACAACTCTACGACATAACAGATTAAAATTTGCAGTCCTAAACTTCTGAAAGTAGTAATACCACAGTTAAATAAAACTGTCATTCAAAGTGGGTGCAGCCAAAATTACAACTTTTCGATAATCCTGGTTAAAAAAAATTAAAACTTCCACTGTTAAATTAAGAAATGCAGAAAACTCTAGACTTCATAGTAATCATAATGGGGGGCCACACAATCAGGTATTTTAATAAGCCTTTTTTGCATGTCCTACATAAGTTCCATAAAAGAATTACAGTATAATTTCTATACTTATCTGATGCAAAGACGTAGAACAAAATTCACCTGCTAATAAAAGTGTTCACATGCGCCAACATTATTATTTGGGCACATTATTTCATTACGAGATGTCGCCTGGGCTCCAATATATCTTGGAGAACACAACTGTAGCTTATATAATACAGCTCCTCTTAATGTGTTGGTTAAACTACCTGATGCTGTATGTTAACATTCATTCTTTCTGGGGTTTTAATAAGGTCAGCATGTACTCCCCAAAAGTGATATTTCTACATGAAATAACTAACAAAAAAAACAGCTATATATGCCGAAAGAATGTCCAGATACAAATGCAACTCAAATTAATACAACACACCCAAAATAAAAATATACAGTTATTTGTCCATCAAATAATTTTGTTCCATCTACTCTCTTTCAATTAATATGACACCAGAGCTGTTTCATGGAAATCCCACGTGTGCGCAATACGTTTGTTACATACACGTATATTAAAGAATGTGTATTAAGAACCCCCAGTTTCCAGAACCAAAACCAGCATTCGAAAAACACATACCCTCATATCAAAACAAAACAGTTCTTCAAAAAAATCATATATAAACTGCATATACCGAAGCAAATAACTAAGATTTTTCTCTAATCCACAGCATCCATACTGGAATCCTATCCTATGGGTGGGTACCAGAGGCTTTTCACTTGATGGTAAGGCAGTTGGGGTACATGAAGCTGACCCCTCATCTACATGCAGTGCCAGGGTCAAGAATGGTGGAGCTACACCTCCAATCCCCCATATATCTTCATGACATAGTTCATAAGGAAAAGTTTACCTTTACTAATATTTCCAAATCATATTATCATGTCCAAATATTCAAACATAAGTAATATCCAGGGCATAAAATTCAAAATTCTGATCTCCCCAGAGTGCTAAGCATCTACATTTACTTGAACTCCATGAAGCGCGATCCTTTCTAAGAGGCTGAGAGTCAAATCAGCTAATACAAAATTTCCACTATTTATGGTATCATCAGTTTCATTACGATGTTCACAAATCTGCCACTGGTTAATATCCTGGGCCAGTTGCATTTAGTACGCATTCTTAACACCAGATTTCTTTCAGATCCACTTTAATATTATCCTGCTATCAACAGCTAGTCTCCTAAGTCATTTATTTTCTTCAGGTTTTAGAGTGACATGATGTGCTTTTTAATATATAAAACTATGCCAAACTGACAAAGTTCTTGTTGCAAAATCTTAAAAATACCAGTGACAGGATTGGTTTTTATAATAAAAATATTTGTGCCCTAAGAACTAGTCAGCTGACATGGCAATTTCTCATCATTCTTATGGTATGGGACTGACTGGAGGGGAGGTGTAGGATTTCAATAATATATATTTAAGCATCCTGTTGCATTGAGGTTCCAGTTACAGTCCATCAAATGTTAGTCTACATGCAACAAACATTGATTCACACTTCAATCCACACAGTGGTCGTTATGTGCATAAGATGTTATTAGAACTATTCAAATATATGTATTATTATGATAATGCTACATGTGTCGGCCATACAAGGCGCCTCTACACAGAAGAAAACATCAAAAAAGGAAATAAAAGTAATAGAGGAATGGTATTCGATTAGTATGCATTGCACTAGGATTCCTCATATTAGTACTGCCTGAAGGTGGCATTATATAGACGAAACCTATAGTAAAATAACAATGCATATATATATATATTTTAATAGTTTTAATAACATCTTATGCACATAACGACCACTGCGTGGATTAAAGTGTCAATCAACGTTACTTGTTGTTGTATTATAGATGGAAAATTTGATAGACTATAAGTTTGATTTCAATTTCCTGATTCATGGGATTGACCATAAATGGGGAAGTTTTGAATGTAAAGGTATAAAAACCGTAGACCCCCAACCATGTCACAGCATATAAAAAAGTAATGACCCAAATTTGAATGTAAAGTGAAAACAGATTTTCTGAAACCACACCAAAGGTACAGGAAATATATAAAGTAAAGCTATCCCTGTACCAGGCCGTGAAGGCCCATAGGGTTGTGAGACGTTGAGGCTCCCACATTATCTACACAATCGGCTCAAAGATGGCGGTAAGGTTATCAGACTTACGCGCCGGCCGCTCTTTACTCCCCAGGAAAATTAAGAGCATAGTGGTTGAGGGGGGGCTACGCTACAAGCTGGAAGGTCGCGGGTTCAAGTCCCGATGAGGTCATTAGATTTTTTCAGTTGACCTAATCCTTCCAGCCGCACTAGGCCCTGGGGTTTACTCAGCCTCTAACAG